TGGAGCTATGTAACGAAGAGGTCTTCTTACACAGGTGATTTCCTGACCCTCAGGAAGGTGGGGCCACTGTGTCTCTGGGACACAGCAGCAGACCCCATCCTCGGCCACCTCAGTGTGCATTTAGTGTGCCCAGTCTAGGGTCTCAGAATTAACCACCCTACGTATCACTTGTTAAGTAACAGCAAAGAGCCTGTTGCCGCAGACAGATGAGTGAGAAGTGGGTCAGAAATGGCGTTCTCTCTGACATCTTACACCTGCCATTCATTTTAACCCTATAAATGCTAACCAAATTAAATTTTATGGAGATAAATGGGAAGTCTCCCCAGGACTTAGCACTGCGCTCCACAAAAACAGACTGGAAGAGGTGTGGCAACTCATGTGAAAAACTCACAGGAAACAGTCAGCGGTCATGTAGGTCCCGTTAGCACGGCATGAAGTTTAGAAAAGAGGAGGGGAGATTTGAGCGGTGCTCTGGGCTCTTTGGACCCCCAGCCTAAGTACTAGATTTGGGGGAGGTGCTGTGCTTCACGGCAGAGGGTTTCCCAGCAGACCTAGAGGAGGAAGTGAGGTAAAGAAGACTCTTAGAGCCATCGGGATACCAATAGTGGAAAATATTTAACCTAAGGTTTGGGAGGGATATGTCACATTTTTGGCTCAGGAGAGGGAGCGATCTCTTTCATTATCCATGAAGCCACAGCAGTGCCACACGAGGGCCTCACTCCTGCAGCCTGGGATGGATGGCAGCGAGCGCAGGCTCACGAAGGGGAGACCCATCCCGATCCAATAGGACCTCATCTTAACTTGATTATCTCAGGTGCTGCTGTAATTTGGATCCAGAATGTTGCCCTAAAAGCCCACATGTTAATAATGACTTGGTCCCCAGACGGGGGCACTGTTGAGAGGTGGCAGAATATTTAAGAAACAAGGCCTAGTTAGAGATAGTTAAGTCATAAGGGGCCATGGCATGAAGGGAATGTTGGGACCCTGGCCTCTTCTCTCTTTCTCTGATTCTCAGCCTTCGTAAATTATAGCAGCTCCTCCGCCATGTACTCACACCGTGACACACTGTGCCACCACAGGCCCAAAGCAATGTGGCCAGATGACCACAGACAGAAACTGTGAGCCGAGCTGCTCTCACTCAGTGTGAGCCTCTGTGATTCATCCAAGCTGGTTTGTGTATCAAGAATTGGTTCCTTTCAGTGCTGAGCGTCTCTCACAGCATAGATGTTGGTTTACTTATTTACTCACTGAAGAAAACCTGTTATTTCCTGCTCTGAACAACAATCTCGCTATGAAAACTCGTGTACAGATTTTTGGGTGAGTGTTAGTTTTCATCTTCTCTGGGCTAAATGCCCAGGAGGTCAGTTGCTGGATTGTGTGACAGCTAATCTCCGAAGGTTACCTGCTATATGATTCTATTTGTAGAACATTATTCAAATGAACAAACTGTCAAAATGAAGAACATGTCAGAGGCTGCCTGGGGTGGAGGGGGGTCTGCAACAGCAAGGAGGTGTGTGTGTTTGGAAAAGGACAACAGGATGGATCCTTGTGGCAATGGAGCGTTCTGCCTTGACAACCTGTGTCACTGTTCTGGACCTCATGCTGGGGAAAACTACTAAGTACTTGACATTTCCATAGTATTAATCACAATAACTTGTAATACGTTTACAGTGACCTCAAAATAAGTTCTAATATTTTAAATATAGGGCCTTTGGGATAAACTAGAGACTTCTATAGGTAAAAGAAGGGGGAATATATATATATATTATACTATATACAGTATATATATATTATATATTATACTATATACAGTATATATAATATATATACACTATATTTTACAATTATATTATACAATTATATTACACAATTATACAATATTATACTATATATATTATACAACATAGTTAAGGTAGTTATACTACTAATTTCTCTTAGTTCTTTGGACAGTTAAATGCCTGTGTCTTGTACTCTGAGTACCTAATTTAAAGATAACAATACACAATGTATTAACCATTGTTGCTCTCCTATTGTTTTGAAATTTTGCTTTTTCCTTTTCTCTTTAAAATAAAATTTTTAAAAATTACATCTGGGGCCTTTGGGTGCCACTCAGTAGTAGAGCTTGTGCTTAGCATGAGCCAGGCCCTAGGTGGATTCCCGAGGACCCGCCCGCCCCCCACAAGGAAATGGAGGCAACCCCTGTGTAAGGTTTGGGGGTGTGCACACAAAGGAAGATGTGGAAAGATATATAGCAAACTTAGCAAGTCTTCGGCAGGAGAAGGAATCTGAAAAGGGAGATTATTTACTTCTTTTCAACCTTTTAGGTATTTGACTCGTTCCAACAAGCATGTGTGACTTGCTGCTTTTGTTCAGACTGATGAAATAGCAGTAAAGAGAATGAGGGGTTCCACCCATTTTTGTGGAAAATGCTTCCTCTACATCTTTACAAACTTTTCACATCTGCGGTGTGGGAGCCAGGGGTGCAGAGAGGTGCGGGCTTCAGCCTCTGTGAGCTCTCCACGGCTGGCCGCCCCGAGACCAGCTTCCTGTCACTTTTCCTCTTGCTCACAAGCACCCGCGGTTCTTCACTGACTCCTCCGCTCATGAAAGTGTGAGAACAAGTGAAACAGGGTGAGAGACTGCGTCCTGCAGAGCAACCTCTGAGCCATCACCGCAGCCGAGAATCATCTTAGTGCCTCTCCATTACTTATTCCATTCTCCCAATATCTCTAGGCATGAGAGCTGTGGTTGTAGGATGAGGAGACTGGGGGGTTTAACTCTGCTTTTCATGTTGGGTTCTGCACTTCTGAGACCCTCACACTTTACCATCCCTGACCAAGCCCAGCCCACCCACCTTTGGCCCTCAAGGTCCAGTGGCTTCAGAAAGCAGGGTCATTCCCAAGCCTCTCACCTAACTCTTGGAGACAGCAGCTAAGAGAGCCCAGCAGAGGGAAATCTTGGGGAAACACAGCTGGTGGCAGGCTTGTTGGTGGCCAAATGCAAGAGCAGAGGCTCCTGGCTTGTTAAGGGTGCCGCTTTGTTAGAGTCACCGAGAGACAGGTGTTGTGTAGAACAGAACCTGATTCTAGCACAGTGATCCTTACTGACCATGGGGTCAAACTGAGATTTTGGAGGCCAGCAGGACACCCACAAGAGTAAAAGGGTTCACCATCAACAGGGAGGAACACAAACAGACAGGCCCCTGTCCCCACCCTTGCTTTTGCCAGGCTTGCTTCTCTGACTGGAAGGCCCTGTGTCTCATAGCTCATTGTTTTTAGAGGTTTCAGTGCATAATCAGTTGGCAGAGTAGCACATAACAGAGGCGCAACAGTTCATGACAGCAGGAGACCACAAAAACAACGAGAGAGAGACAGAGACAGAAAGAGAGACACACAAAGAGAGAGAGAGATTCTTTCTGTCCCTTATATTGTATGCAGACTCCCTGCCCTAGGGAAGATGTATCACTCATGCCTGTAATCTCAGAATTGGACCATTAATCAGCCACAAACTCTAGATCCAGCCACCTTCAAAAAGCACACCACCCGTGCCCACATGAGGCTTTGGGGGGACATCTAGACACAAACCATAACATCTTGTTTTCTATAGCTAAACTCTGTCATTTTTCAAGATGAGGCTTTAGTAGCTCCGTTGACTTAGGGATGCCACATGCTGCCTCCCCGGGGAAGTGCTGCATGGCACTTCTTGTCCTGGAAGCTGTTGATGGTGAACCCTTTTACTCTTGTGGGTATCCAGACTGGGAACATGAAAGATGTTGTCTCCTTTGAGGCCTGCTCTTGTCACCAGTTGACTGAGGGGTTCTTTGTGCAGCTGGGTAGAAATCACACATTGGCAACATGCAGCTCCCTTGATGTTAGCGTCTCCCTTGAAATTAGCGAGGAGGGCTAGTGCCTCTTAGCTCTTTGTGTTACGGCGCTTACTTAGCACCTTTTAAAACAGCTCATCAGCTCCTCAGCAGCCACGGCTCATAACCCCCTTGGTGGTTTTCTAGAGTCTTTCAGCAGCTTTCACGTCCTCTCTGGGGCTCTTTACAAGTCATTGCAGATCTCTGGCAGTCATCACCCATCTCCATGGCTATTCACGTCTGTGCCACTCTAGTGTAACCAGCTCTACATAGTGCAACCCGTTCAGTCCACTGTCCTTGAAATAAAAATTACAAGTAGACAGTACAGAGGGCTAGTGTGCCGGAGGAAGCCCTTCTGGACAGGTGCAAGGAGTATGGGAAGTGCTGTTTATGGAGTGGAGGAGTGGGCCCACCACCAGTCTTCTGCAATCCATGGAGCTATTTGAGGGTGACAAGGTGGGGTCATCAGGTGACAAGAGAGAGACATCCACAGTGCAGGTGGAGTCACCTGGGATGGGCCCATGTTGGAAGCTTGCTGCAGCCAAGGCAAACGTTTCCCAGAGCAACTGTGCAGCACCTGGGACAGCCAGCACTGTCGTGGTGACAAGTCTGCTAAGTGTGGGAGAAGTGACTGCTTGACTGATGGATGATTGACAGCTCCCGTGTTTTTGTGGAAATTGGGGGAGGGGGCTGAAGTCACATGTGGCAGTGTTTTCAAGGACTCTCCAGGAGGGCCAGGTATATCCATCAGAGCCCCTTAGGACTTGGGGATCTTGAGGATATCAGGAATGCGCCCAGTCCCTCCCAGGTGTCTGCCCAGTCCCTCCTGTTTCCAGGCTGCTAGGCCACCCTGAGGGAGGCAAAGAGGGACAAAGCAGAGGAGCATGACAGTTGTCAATCAGATCATACCCACTTTGGCTGTCAGAGGGTACGGGGAAGGGTCAGGGAGCAATCTCATTTCCAGTGCATGTTTTCTGTGTGTGCCTGTGCTCCCACAGAGTGGTGTGGCCAAGGCCACCTTCCTTCTTGCTGTCCCCAAGGCCTATCCAGAGACTTACACATGCACAGTCACCCGGAATGAATGGATACATTAATCCTCAGAGTGCTTACAGAGTTCTTTTACTCTCCTTCCTTCCAGGAATCTATAAAGGGCACTGCTTCCGGATCAATCACTTCCCAGAGGACAATGATTATGACCACGACAGCTCGGAGTATCTCCTTCGTGAGTGCTGAGAATCCTTTGTGCATGTGGCAGGGGGAAGTGGCGGGCAAGCAAACAGCTGGAGGAGAAGGGGGCTCTGTGACAGGGTGTTGCCACGCTGCCTGTCTCTGCAAGCTGTGGACACTCTGTCTCCTTTCAGAAACTGAACTCCGAGGTGAAGTTTTGTGTAGTGCTGCCCTGACAGCTGGGTATCCGCATGAAGTTCCTTGGCTGTAGGTCTAGGCTCTGGGGAGATTGAAGCCTGGGCAGAGATGGTACAGCTTCCCAGGCTGATGGGCTTGGGCCAGCTTCAAGAGAGCCAATTGGGTGGGCCTCGTACTGGGGCAAGGGAGATTTAACACACAGTCTGCTAAGGTTGCCCGTCTCTAAATGGAAGGTCTCTCCATGCATATTGTGTCCCACCGGGGTGAGATGGGCCCACCTCTCCCTGTGCACTCCCCAGAATTCTGTTCGTAAAACATCAAATTAATTTGCAACCAGCACCAGCTTCATGGTGTGCTTGGCAGCTTGAGGGACGTGCAGAAGGGGGCAGAACGGCCTCTAGGTGAGCCCTAATGTGCTTCAGGCACCAACTGGAGGACCCAGCATCTCTGCCTGTGGGCTGCCCCTGAGTCTCCCCCCTGCAGGCCCTGTGGCTGAGCAGAGCTGGAGTCCAGACATGGCAGCACATGTTGAACCCAAGAGAACAAAGCTAGCCCCACACCCTAAATCCAGACCACATTCTTGGTGCTATGGGTCCCTCCCTGAGAAGGAGAGAGGAGCCTAGAAATAGAAAAGCCAGCAGCATTTCTGTGTCATTGTCCCCTTCCACATTAACCAAAAGACACAAAGAAAAGTTGCTCACCACAGCGCGCTGGGGCTTGGGGCCAGCTTCATTCACAGAAAATCGATAGCTGGGGCCTCAGAGGGAACACAGTTCACGCTGCACCTGCTTATGGACCATTTCTCTCTGTCTTTTTTTTTTTTTTTTCTGAGAGTAAAAATTTGGATTCTGAGTCATCTGGTGAAATAGAATAGTGTGCGGTTCCCATGGAGCCAAGGCCATGTCAGGCTGCTGCAGCCAAACCCAGAACCTGAAATAATTCAGCCAGAGCCCTGCCCCCTCCCCTCCTCCCTCATTCTCTCCTCCTCTGCCGCCTGTCCTCTGACTCTGCTTCCTGAGGGCCTCGCACCAAACAGGGCTGCTGCAGATCGTGGTGTAGGTTGCACACTGCATAACTCGAGGAATATCACCTGCACAGATTGTGGCAGGAGTGATAGCCCTGCGGTTCTGCAGTGCAGGAGGGGAGTGAGGACAGGGCCGTGGGGCAGGAACTGAGGCCCCCAGAAAGAGATGCAGCCTCTTCACCCCCGGCCTGGGGCGTGGAAGCTAGGGGACAACTCCACGACCAACACGCTTCTGAAAGCCCATCTGGAATCCTGGTGCCTGGGTCCACACAGCCAACCTCCTGAGGCCCAACTAGGACGGGAAAGATGGAGCGAGGATCCACAGGAGCAGATAATGGTGTCTGTCCTACTTCAGCCCTGCACTAGGGGACCTCAAACTCCACCAACAGTGTCCCCAAGGGAGGATTCGAGACTGGGAGTTTCACAGAGTGACGTCTCAGATAAAGTGATCGTAGCAATGATGAGCAAGTGAAGCTCATTTGGGACACAGCCCAGTTTGTTCACCAGCCCAGGCATGCGCACAGAAGACAGGGTCTCCAGCAGACGGTGGAGTGGGCAGGAGGAGGCAGAGCTGAATTCCCAACAGGGCGGTGGCTTTCCGCTCAGTGGCTGCAGCGACAGGGATATTTGGCCTGAAAACTGAGTCCTGCTTTTGTGTTTGGTCAGCCTTTCCCTTCACAGAGCAGGTGAGCTTGGAGGCAGAGCGGGTGGACAACTTGCTGAGACATCTTAAGGTTATAGTTCCCACTGCCACCCGGCCTGCATCCCTCTGGGTCATCCTGTCCCCAGTGTCCAGCCTTCTGGTCTCTGTTACACTGTTGATCTCCAAAATACGAAGAAGTATAGGAAAAAGGTCTCGCAGTGGGTTGATAGTTGTGGAAGGGGAGAATTCATCATCGTGGGCCTACTGTGTGTCAGGCACTGTAGTAGGCCCCGGGACACAGTAGCAAGAGAAGCAGAGCTCTGCCCTGCCGGTAGAGAGTGGGGCTGTGGAGAGAGCTCCCTGGCAGGGGTGTCTGCTGGTAGCCTGTTACAGAGGCTGCTCAGCTGTCCAGGTGTGGAGCACCAGCAAGCCAAAGCCCACATGCTCATATTTTGTCTTGGACAATTCAGGGAGAAAAACCCAGCCATGAGCCATTGATTCCAAAGCCTTCTGGAGAAGCCGGGCTTGAATTCTAAGTTATGTCATTGTCATAGGATTCCTGAAGGCCTCTAAGCTCTTGCATTGTCCTTGCTGGTATATACATTCTCAGCCCAGGATTTGGGGGAGTCCCTAGTCCCCACCCTGTCTGCTGTCTTTTCCATGGCCCTTCCTGGCTCCAAAGTTTCCTGCCCATTTTTCCCTAACTCTGACGCCACCTCTAGGTCCTGCGTCTCCAGTGAGATGGATCATTTCAGTGCTGGGCCGCAGAGTGCTCATGTTAGGGCTGCTGGGAGCCCACAGAGTGCCAGAGGGTGTTGGAAGGTGGGTCCATCCTCCAGGGAGACACGCACCATCACCGGGGCTTGATTTAGCCACCCACAGACGGGCTGGACTCCAGCCTCCCTCACGTCTCAGCCACATGATCTTTGAGACGCTCCACCTGCTCCGGTGTCCATGCCAACACTGGCTACCATCTGCACATCCGGACCAAGTCTGTGTGGCAAACAGGTGTTTACGTGACTTACCTGGTAGGGTGGATGGGTGGCACTGAGCTGGGCCTTGGCCTCAGGTGGCGTTGGAGCAACTGGGCTCCCTTCTCCCTAGCTGCGCTGACCAGACAAGGGCACCTGGCCAGACTCTGTAGCCAGCGGAGCTCAGAATCACCTTTCAGAAGCACACCGGAAGCCTAATCCCAGTGTCTGCCACTGGAAGAAGGCAAGAGAGAGACTCGGGAGGAGGCGGTGCTGTAGAGAAGAGGCTCATTTAATGCCCCAGACAATCCCTCATCTATGAAGAGCACGCACAGTGGTGGGCGTGCGTAACAGAGGAGACAAATGCAGCCTTCAGAAGCTGTGAGGCCTCCGGCCAGTCAGCTGGCCAGGAGGGGCATCTGCCTGCACTCCGTGACTCACTGGTCCCCGCTGGGACCACCGAGGCCCCCGTGACCAGATATCTATGGACGATTTCTGTGCAGGTGTGGGGGAAGGCTGAGCTATGGCTCCTCCTGTCCCTCGTCTTCCCGCCCAACACTGAGGGAGGGGACCCTCAAGCCCTACTGTGTGCTCTGTGCTTTCTCACAGTAACTCTCCCAGGTAGGCGCCCTTTCCTACCCGAGGCCGCTGTAGCAAATGATCACAAACTGTGGCTTAAAGCAGTAGAAATTGACCCTCTGACAAGGTGGCACCCAGAAGTCCAAAATCAAGGTGTGAGTAGGACCGGCCCCTTCTGATGGCTCCAGGAAGTGGCTGTTTCCTTGGTGGCACTGAACTTCGTGGTCACATCACTCTACTCTTTGCCTCCGTCTTCTCCTCTCTGGATAAGAATGGTGTTTCCTCTTAGAAGGACACTTGTCACTGAACTCAGGGACCACCTGATTCGTCCAGCATGCTCTTACCTTGAGATCCTTAATTACGTCTGCAGAGACCTTTTCTCCAGTAAGATCATATTCATAGCTCCTGGGCATTAGAACCTTCACATATTGGGGGTTGGGGGTTCCTCCCTCAGAGGCTCTTATCATTACTACTTTCTAGTTGTGAAAGAGTGGATTCTGGTGGACGCTGAAGCTGCTTGCCCCAGATTCCCCCCCAGTCAGTGGTGGAGCAAGGGGATGAAATATGCTAGACAGCAAGGTCCACGAGCATCTCACTGGGCCTACCCGCCACCTCTGTGACCTCGTGTGCATTGTGAGCTTCCTCATCCTCATCTGTTGCCAGAGATAATGATGTTGATGGTGGAGAGGGGGAGCATAAGGAATATCACTTAGGAAGCACATGCTGTGGCCACACTCCAAGCAGACAAGCCTTCCATGTACAAAAGCAACTGTGGGACCCTGAACTACAGCCGCCCCCCATTCACAGTTTTGTTTTATGAGGTTTTAGCCAACTGCAGTTCAGAAATAGGAAGCCGTATCTGAGCATAGTGGTGCCCACGTGGAATCCCAGCACTCTGGGAGGCTGAGGCAGGAGGCTTGCAAGTTCAAGCTAAGCCTGGGCAATTTAGCAAGGCCCTGTGTCAAAAGTTAAAAAGGGCTGGGAATGAAGCTTAATGTGAAGTCCATGGATTCAGTTATTCAACTCCCAGTACTGGGGTGGGATAGGAGGGATCCAGAAATAAATTATTCGTATATATTTTTGTTTTGTTTTTTGAGACAAGTTCTCACTTGATAATTCAGGCTGGCCTTGAACTCACTTTGTAGCCCAGACTGGACTCGAACTTGCAGTGATCCTCCTGCCTCAGCCTCCTAAGTGATTGCAGGTGTGCACTACCATACCCAGCTATGATTCACATGTTTTAAATAATTTTATTGTAATGTATTTGCATCATTGTTCTATGAGCCATTGTTGCCAGTCTCTTACTGCACCTGTATGCATATGTACATACAGAAAAACACACAGTGTAAAGTAATACCTCAGTTCACAAACACTTCTGTTTGCAAACAATTTGGTTCTGCAAACAAAAGCATTCAGCATAATTTTGCCTCTGTTCATGAGCTCCGTGTCGGGGGACAAACACCACCAAGGCCATCTTCCCCACACAAACACAAACGCAACTGTCTTTCCGAAATCAGAAAATAAACTAAGTTCATAAGCCGAGTTCCCACAGTGTATAGGGCTCAGGACTCTGTGGTTTCAGGCATGCACTGGGGTCTTGAACTATACCCCTGCAGACAGCAGGAGATGACGGCATTATGAGCCGTGGAGAAAGTGGAGCTTTGGAAAGCGTTTGGCCTATGCCATGCTGCCAGCACAGAGCAGGGCCATCCCCTGTGCTAAGCCTTGCCTGCACCCCTGCACCTGGGCCTCCTCCTGTGAATGCTGCTTCCCAGGTTCCTGGCGGCTGCAGAGATCGTGTCCAGGAAAGGCTTCCGCAGGCTGTGAGGTGTTACCTAAATCTAAAGCAGCCCACAATCTCCAAAGCTGTTATTGTAGCCTCCCAAAAGCCACTGAGGGACTCTGTTCCCTCCCAGTTGATAGAAGTGTGACCCACACTCAGGGAGAGGCTGAGTGAGATGCGGGCAGATATAACCTGGGCCACTTAGAGTCCCCCAGAGTAATCTGCAGGCCCGGGGGCCATCACCAGCTGCCTTGGCCCACCCGGCCTCCTGACCTCTGTGGGTTTAGGTCCTGATGGGAATCTCCATCTCCCGGGGGGAGGACCTCAAGCTGCCAAGTTCCAGGAAGACACATATGGCTGTGGCCAGGGAGGGTGGCTGGTCTCACTGCCCTCTCTGCTCTGTCCCTTTCCTGGCCTAGGCATTGTGCGAGCCTCCAGCGTCTTTCCCATCCTCAGCACCATCCTGCTGCTGCTCGGGGGGCTCTGCATTGGCGCCGGGAGGATCTACAGCCGCAAGAACAACATCGTCCTCAGTGCCGGCATCCTCTTTGTGGCTGCAGGTGAGCCACCCGCCCACGCGCCCCACTCGAGCCAGTGACAGCGAGGAGCTGGGGACATCCAGGAGCACATGCACACATGGTCTCCACTGCCAGGGCCTGTGCATGCTGGCAGGAAGCCAAACCACAGCTGCCACATGCACTTAGCTTTAAAAGTCCAGGTGTGCAGGGCCGGGGACATCCACTGCCTGCAAGGTTTCTCTTCGGGGTGACAGAATGTCTTGAAACTAGACAGAGATGCTGGTTGCACACATCATGAATGTACTAAATGCCACTGAGTTGTGCACTTCCAAAAGGATAATTTTATATTATATGAATTTTACCTCATCTGAGAAAAATAGTCAAATGTGCAAAGTTGGGCCTGTAATGGGAAGGAGCCTGGCTGAGGTGGGTTTCAGGGAGGTACCCAGGGAAGCCAGCACCTGAAGGAATTGGCCTGATAAAGACAGGGTGAGGACCCAGGGTGGGTGGAGTGGCCTTTGAGTGGAAGGATCAGTACGGCTGACTACACAGCACTAAGTGTATTAGGTATTATAAGTTACGGGGAGAGGACTTCCGGCGAACAGGAAGTCATGTGTAAATACCAAACCATTTTACAGAAAGGTCTGCAGCATCTGCAGAGTTTCATATCTGCAAGGGGGGTCCTGTGGATACCAAGCTGTCCTCAGAAGAAAAATTAGTTACCGAGGTCAAGAAATGCTCAGCAAGGGGGAAGGGGCACCAGCTCCATCTCTGGCCACCTATCCCTGTCCTGTTGTTCCAGCTGTGGTCTAACCCCTGCCTCTCTCCCTCCCCAACCCCTGTGCTTGCTCCCTTCCCAGGCCTCAGTAACATCATAGGCATCATCGTCTACATTTCCAGCAACACAGGCGACCCCAGCGACAAGCGAGACGAAGACAAAAAGAACCATTACAACTATGGCTGGTCTTTTTACTTCGGTGCCCTGTCGTTTATTGTGGCGGAGACCGTGGGCGTCCTGGCTGTAAACATTTACATTGAGAAAAATAAAGAGTTGAGGTTTAAGACCAAACGGGAGTTCCTTAAGGCTTCTTCCTCTTCTCCTTACGCCAGGATGCCAAGCTACAGATACAGGCGACGGCGCTCCAGGTCTAGCTCGAGGTCCACTGAGGCCTCACCCTCCAGGGACACGTCTCCCGTGGGCCTGAAGATCGCTGGGGCCATCCCCATGGGTGAGCTGTCCATGTACACGCTATCCAGGGAGCCCCTCAAGGTGACCACGGCCGCCAGCTACAGCCCTGACCAGGAGGCCGGCTTCCTCCAGGTGCACGACTTCTTCCAGCCAGATCTGAAGGAAAGTTTCCATGTGAGCATGCTGAACCGGCGGACGACCCCCGTGTGAGCTGCCCGATGTCCTCTCAGCACTGGCCTCCCCCCAGCATAGCTGTTTGTGTCTCACAGGAGGGCGCGTGGCCCTTGAGGCAGATAGACAATGAACTGAAGCCAAACGCAACCCTCCCTGGTCTGCAGACAGCGTCCTGAGCTGGCTTAGAGTGATGGAGGCCTGGAGACTGGAGCCTGGGTTGCCAGAGAAGCGAAAGGCTGACTTTATCCCCCTAAAAAAGGTGTTTGACTGTCCTGGGATTTCCATGATCTCCAGGAGACCCAAGAGCATTTCTGAAGTTACAGGAGGAAACTAAATCCAGCCATTATCTCCTGCTGGAAACAAATCTTAGAGAAGAATGGGATTTTAGGCCCTTCGCTCCCTGCTGGGTGCTGGCCACCAAAGGCCTCTCTGGGCACAAGGAGCTCTGGGCACTTGTCAGCTGCTTTTGAACCTGAAGTTCCTATGTCTTGGAACCAGAAATGAGGACACTGAACTCACACCCTCCTCTCCCCTCTTCCTTGCTCTGGCACCCTGGCAGGGGACTGTTGGTGAGAAATAATCATCCTGAAGAGACACTGTGCAGCTAACCGGTGCTTCGGCCTTGTGCTGCCCTGGGGCTGGCTTCCCTCCTCCTGAGTAGACTGAGTCCTGTGGAGGCACCGCGGAAAGACAAGGCTGGGGCCGTGGATGGCTTTCCTGTCTGCTTCTGGAAATTTCTGCCTTACTCAGAATGGGCAGGACACATGGACCTGAGGGGCTGGAGGATTCCGCCAGTTAGAGGGAAAGTAGCTTGGTGCCCTCTTGCTGCGTCCGTCCCCACCGGCCTGAAGAGCAGTCCTGTCCCTTGTAGGAACACAGGAGAAGGTGGAGGCGGACAGCCCCACCCAAGGCCCTCAAGTGGTGTTTGGCAACAGAAGCCTGAACTCTGTGCAAGAAAGGGAGGCCCAAAGGAAAACAGCAACCAAAACACAAAACCCAACAAGCATCCATTTTCTAAGTGAATCGCGACCTGTCTCAACGCCAGGGAAGCAAGTTGCGTTCATTTCCTTCTCTTAAAAAGTAGCAGCAACGTGAGCCCACGTCTTGTCATTGTGATGTAGTCTGCCACCACCAGCAAGCCTGCAGAAGAGGAAGTTGGACTGAAGAGGCCTCGCTGGGCTTTTCTTCAGCCTTCAGAGAGACGAACCTCAACACTTTGTTCAAAACTAAGCAAGGGTTTTGCAGTTTTTCCAGCCATTTTTCCCTCCTCCTGAAGCGAGCAGAGACCCTGGAAGTGTGTCTGGGTTCCGAAAAACTCTCTGAAACATGGAACTTACCCTCTTTTCTATAAAACATGTGCTTTCTAAGGAGAAATTGTTTCTTACTTTTTGAAACTTCTTAACCAATCCCCAGCAGTCATCTGTGATCCCGGTAGGTGTCGCACTTAGACGTGATGAGCAAATTCTTACCTCAGCCACCTGCTCGTGGAGCCCCTGGCGGACCCAGCCCTAGGAGTTCAGAACCCAGTCCCCGAGGCCTGGCCGTCGTCCCTCCCGCTCTCCACACGCAGGAGAGGACATCTCACGTCACATCTCCAGCCAACTGCCCCTGTGTGCCGGTGAGCCGAGATGCGAGGCATCCAGGGCCCCTTCGTGCTTGCTTGAAACCCTTTCCTCTGGTGGGGTTGCTCTGGATGGCGATGTGTCTAGCATGCGTAACAGTGAGCACCGCAGCAGCATCTGGGCGTGTGGCCTGTCCACCCGCCACCCTGGCCTGTCCTCTACACCTCCACCACCATGCCATCATCTTACCAGGCTGAAGAAAACCATCGCCCAGCAAAGCCCCAGGACTCGTCTTCTGTCTGTTCCAACAGCGAGGCAGCCTGGCCGTTGCTTCCACTCAAGCCCCTTCCCGCCCACTGCCCCAGCAGTTTCTGTGGTCCCATAAAGAAAGCTGTGTTCCAATGATTCCTACCTCTTGCCCTGTCCCAGATGGAGAACGCAGACCCTCTCTGGGGTCCAAGAAAGAGTAGAAAGAAAGAAAAAATGCAACCAAGAGGGACAGAGGGCAGGGAGCAAAACAACCTCAGCCGCTCCAGCCTGCACAGCCTTTCTCCCCGCTGCCGTCCATCTCTGGGGACCCTGGTCTCTGGCTCGCCCTTCCTCCAGCCAGGCCTGCTCGAGCAGCGGGAGCCGAGCCGGCTCCCTGATGCTGCTGGTCTCAGACTTGGCACCTTCCGGGGAGGTGTGCAGCGTTGCTCGCTTCCCATCCCCCCCCACCCCCATGTGTTTCTCCAGTTAAGCACCTGTACCCACGATTGGTTTGGGGTTGTTAGTTCTGTCTCTTTTTTTTTTTATTAAATAAAAACATTTTTAAAACGTTCTCCTCTTGATGTAGGGAGGTGAGGGAAGCACTCCGCTTGAGATCTCTTTGTGGGTACTTGGTATCTGGGCTGTAGGGGCACCAGACCCTCCAAGAGAAGTTCGAGGTTAAAAGGGCGGGGATTTGGCCACGGCTGACTTCTCCAACTTGAATCTGGGTCACTTGCCACCTCCCCGGGACACTTCTGGGTGGTGCCACTGAGGGGCTGCCTCGTGGTGTGATGTGGTAGGAGCTTCAGAGCAGCAGACCCAGCCAGTCCTGTCCTCAGAACCTGTGAGTGGGAGCAACCAAACGAAGTCAAGCCATGGAGATGCCAGGTTACCTAGTGGAGTTTTGAGGAAATTCACTGAACAGCCTCCTTTCCTAAGAATTCTGCAGTGAAGAAGTAGAGGAGCCCAGGTATCAAAACGTGAGCAGTGTTTGAATGAAAAACCAAATTGGCTTCCTTCTGCCATTACAGGACAAGCCACCTAGTCACAGGCAGCACTGGCCACCACTGTCCCCTGGAATAGGAAGGAGTGAGGTAAGGGGTGGACAGAGGGGTCAGAGAGGCCGCCTTGACCTAGACACTGCTTGACATCTGTTGTCAGCTGCTAGGGTGGGCTCACCTTGGAGGTGGGCCCTGGCAGGATGTCAGCCTGCTTTCCTCAGGCATGAGGAGTGTGTTAGTTACTTCTCTCTCCTTGCTGACACAAAATTCCCAGCACTCACTTGACTTACAGTTTGTAGAGGTTTGGGTCCATAGTTGGCTGGCTCCAAGGCAGAGCGGCACATGGGCAGAAGTAGTTCACAGACTGAACAAGACAGCAAAAATAAGCACAGGATGGCCACAGCGCTTTCTAGGCCTTGTATTTTTTTTTCTTTATTGGTACTGGGGATCGAACTCATGACCACCTGTTTACAAGGCAGGTGCTTATGTCGCTGAGCTAAATCCCCAGCCCCCTAGCCCTTGTATTTTATTCAGCCTATTTAGGACAGGCAGCTCTCACACTCTTAATCCTAGTGCCCTTGATCCTAGCATGGCACCATGAATCAATCCCAGCATCCACACTCTCGATCCAACTACCTCTGAGAAAGTCCCACCTATGACTGCATGAGGCTTTGGGGGACATCTAGACACAAACCATAACAAGGAGGGAGAGATCATCAGAGACCCTCTGCCCCAGTTCTGCTGCAACTCAAAAGACCCTTAATTCAATTCCATCTTTCCCTTTCTTTAAGGACTATGACTGAGTCTTCCTGAAAGCTATGGGCTTCACCCCCTCTCCCAGAACCAAGAGAACCAAATTCATGTACCTTCTTTGAGAACTTTGTTCCCATGCAGGTCTTTGCACCCTGGTCCCCAGCACAGAGTGGTGAGCTGGGAGACAGCGCCTAGGTGTCCATGAACATTTACCATCATGTCCATGGCATCTTCTCTCCTCCCTGAACTTTCTGCTCTGGCTAAATCCTCTTTCCTCTAGCCTATAGAAGGGCAGCTGGGAAATGAACGTGCCTAGATCTACTGAGCCACCAGATCCCAGGGCCAGGGGAGCTCAGACCTTTGTTGGGTCCCATCAACTGTGCCTGGCCAAGGTGGGGGCTGATCGTGCGGCCAGCCTGGAGCCAAAGCTGTCTGGAGTTGCCTCCCTGTGCCAGAATCTCTGTGTTCCCTGTTTATTCTTAGCACTGAAGAAACTCTGGCTCAGCACAAGCCTTGCAGCCATCCTGAGCAGACTCTTGTTCCAGTCTACATTTAGTGACTGACCAGTCCGCACAGTCACATGGTCACGTGTTTACTTCAGCTATAAACTCTGTCTCTGTATCTTCTGCAAGAACCCACACAGAAATCAGTGTTCTGGTTCCTAATGAAAATACTAATCAGAACCATCTGTAGCTCTTGGGCTCCATTTACCCTTCACTTACAGGCTAACTCCATAACAGCAAGTATGTGGTGGTTTATTACATTAGAAATTCATTTCTCATTCATAAAACCTGCTCAACAGGGCAGGGAGGCAATTCCTGCTGTAGAAGTTTCCTGGCCATGGACATCTTGTAGGTAGATAAGGACAGTGAAAATAAATGATCTTATGGGTAAAGGTCAAGTGAGAGACCAGAAAGCTGTGACTTCACCTTTCTACACATACCATTACCAGAATATAATCATGTGACTACATCTAAGAGCAAGGGAAGATGGGAAATGTAGTCCAGTCAGGAGGACAAAAATAATTTGGGGAAGTACTGGTCAGTGTCAGCCCTTGGTGGGTATCTTTCCACACATCTTTCAGCTCCAACATGTTCAGCCTTGTCTGTGCACCACGTGCCCCATTGTTAAATGAAGCTATGGTACCTTCTTCCTAGGTTGAGGGAGCAACCTTAATCAGAATACAAGAATACAGCATCATTGGACGCTGACCAGCAGGACTGGCGGGTCTCTTTCATCAGTGGATCTGCTCATTACAGAAGGAAAATCAAGCCTGAGGGGGAAGCAGGTGGTAAGAGAGGAGGGAACAGAAGGAAGAATAAAAGTAAGACAGTACCTTTGAGGAGAACTTTCATAGCAACCGTGAAAAGGGAGATACAGTTAGCTTGGAGTGGCCTTGATCTCACAATAGTGATGCCGGTTGCCAGAGCCCGGACCTGACCAGCTCTCATGTGCCCAGCTGTACCATCAGGGTCTTATCCTGAGTCTCTAGTCATGTGGGGCCACCTGAACTGATGCCAAGAGAGGGCGGGGAGCTCAGAAACAGCCATGCCTCTTTAGCTCCTTGTCCTGGAACCTGGCACAACGTCCCCACAAGCCAGCCCCAGCGGTGAGGGGCCGAGGAGAATAGGCAGAGAAGTTCAGGGGCCTCAGAATACAGGGGGAGGATGGATTAGATGCTCCGCATACAGATATTTGTGAAATTGCAGCTTTTAATAGATGGGCAGAAGCAACCACAGGAACCGAAGTCTGCTTTGTCCCTGCAGGGAAGGGGCTTGAGGAAACACCTCTGTCCTGACCTGTACCCCTGATAAGCATTCTAAGGGACTCAGTAACACCTATGGGACATGCAGAACCCACAGGTTAAATTGCAATAGCCAAGTTCATTTACAAATGATAATATGCTCATGCTTGCTTCTAAAATGAATGCAGTTTACCTTTAAAAATTCCAAAACATACAGGAAAGTTTAAAGAAGAAAACAGTGTCAGCCAAAATGCCATAACCCAAGAGAGCAGTGCAGTTAACATTTCAGTGCCCACAGGTGTGGAATGTCAGGGAGGGCTGTGCTTCAAGATCTTACTCACATGTTTTTCCTCATGGGATTCAGCTTACTTCTTTATCCCTCGAAACATTTATTTTGTTTTGCTTTGTTTCACAGTGCTGAGGATGAAACCCAGGGCCCTGAGCCTGCTAAACATGTTTTACCACTGAGATGCACAGGCAACCTTCAATTAGAACATTATTTTTAATGGCGAATACGAGAGATGCCGCTGTTTAAGCAGAGTGCTATTGCTGGACATGGCTTATTTGCTGGTCCTAGATCATAAGTGACAACTGAATGGCCAAAGTGCCAGGATGCTCGAGATGAATTTGGTTAAGGTGTTATGGAGTTTGAACTCTGAACTTCTGGCCCAGCTTTACCCTGGAGGCTTCACCTCCCAACCCTGTCCAGAACTTGTCCTCATCCAGGGCCAGAGAGCCTGGGCTGTGAGGCAGCTGCACCCCAACTACGCCTCTCCCCACCCCTATCTAATAAAGATATTATTAGCAGTTTCACCCAGGAAGGCTAAGATGCTTCATCCCAGCAGGCATGACTTAGCCACCATGAAATTCCCCCAGTCACCTAGTGCATCTGTTAGTAGAGCTGTGTGACAAATTACCCCCAAGCCTCGCAGCATTAAACAACCATTAAGCATTCTCAGGGACTGTTGACTCTGCTCGACAGACACAGGGCAAGGATGATTTTTCTCTCTCCCAGTCTGGGGTCTCTACTAGGAGCTGCAGCACTGGGCTGAGTCCCCTGGATACTCATGTACTCACACATCTGGTTGCCCATGTCTTTGTGTCTCTTTGCTGATATCCGTCCCCACCTCTTGGCATAAATGATCCCATGTCTTCTTCCAAGGACGCTGCTTCCCTCGGGCCTCCCCGCCCAGCAGAACTGCCAGTGCCCATTCCCAATGTAGTGCCCTGGCTGCCCAGGCCCAGACTCAGGTCCAGAATTCTTTGGCTGGTAAGGGGGAAGGAAGGCCCGGGGAAGCCTAGCATCCTCCAGAAGGCTGGAACAGAACACTTGAGAGAGATCTTTTTAAGCTTGCAGCTTCCAACAAAACTTGGCACAATCTCAGAAGGAGAAGTCCAGGAGCTTCCTGTAAGCTTCCTATACTGCCATCTCCTAAACTCTTCTAGGTCACTCCTGCATGTGGCACCTCTGGTGCCTGTTTGTCCCAAGTCCTGCCACATTATGTGAAAACACATCAACGCCTGTTGTAGTCTGGATTTACAAGTGAAAAGGTTTAATACAGGACACATAATGTATAGGATTGCTTTATAATTGTCACCCAAAGAGTCAAACACAAAAGTGTTCAAGAAATCTGTCCACACACTGGAGACCTGAACAATCCAGCTGAGGTTCTGGATTCCATGGCAATGTCTTGCACAAGTCCAGCTGAAGACCTAGAGCCCACGGCAATGCCCCAGTGATCCAGCTGGAGGCCTAGAGTCCACAACAGTGTCTCATGTGAGTCTGTTTCAAGAATCTACACTGGGAAGGCCCAAAGGTCAGTGGTGGAAGCTGGAAAGTCTGCACCAGCGGGATGAAGGGTCTGTGCCAGCAGCCCAAGGGATCTGCACTGGAGCCGGGAAGCAACAAGTTAAGTAACATAGCTCCCCCAAAGAGATCCGCTGCCATCCTCAGCAACAGCAAGGACCTGAGCTCCTCCAGTGATGAGAACAGCTGTGTTCGTATCAGGAAAGCCAGCATGACAGGCTTCTCTAGGAGAATCAACAGCGCGTCATCTTCCCCCTTGGTTTTCTCTAAGCTGCTGGCAGCGATCCTCAGGTCGGTCTTCCACACCCAGCACCACACTGAATCTGTTCAGTTGGGTGTTACAAGTTGACTATTTATTAATCCACTCCAATTAGAGTGGAGCCAGCCACCCTAACTAGTCTCAGCTCTCTAGTCTTCTCAACTCCACCAACCCTTTCTCTCCAACATGGGCCTGGCCATCATGCCTGACTGCCCCCACCCTGTGTCATCTTCAAAGCCATCATCTAGCTCTCCCATCACGGCTTCCCGTGTTCCCCATGCCTCACACCCTTCCCACCTGCACACCTGGCCCACAGTCTCATCAAGCTCCAGTGTCATGCCCCTTCTGCTTTTTCCCAATACACCTGCTCTCCCAAGCTGCAAGGCCAGCTGGACTCCCCAGACTATGGGAAGGCGTCTCTTCACCTCGCCTCTGCAGGTACTGCAGTCCTCTGGGCCTCTGTTCCTCCTGGGTTTTCCTTGAATGATCAGGCCCAGCCCTCCATCAGAGTCACCTTCCTCTCTTCATCCCTGCACCCACACTGCAAGGTGAGGTCAGAAGATTCAGACAATTGGCAGAGGCAGACGGTGGCCTCCTGGGATGTCTACATCCTACTCCCTGGGGCCTGACTCTGTCACCTGGCATGGCAAAAAGGGATTTGAGGATACAATTAAATTAAGAATTTTAGTATTTATGAATCAGTTAAAATTAATTTTTTTTGTCTTTTTCCTTTTTATCGGTACCGGGGATCAAACTCACGACTGCCTGCTTGCAGGTGCTTATGCCGCTGAGCTAAATCCCCAGCCCCAAAATTAATTATTTTGAGATAGGAGATTATCTTGGATTATCTAGATGGACACTGTAATAACAAAAGTCCTTATAAAGGAAAAAGAGAGGCAGGCAGAGAAGTTGGAGATGTTGGAACTCGGCAGGAGCAGAGTTCGGGGTGATGGAGCTGCTGCCCTTGGAGGTAGAAGGGACCATGAGCAGCCTCCAAAGGGTGCAGACGCCAGGGACGAATTCTCCCCTCCAGCCTCTGGAAGGAACACAGATGGCTGACATCTTGATGTTAGCCTGGTGAGACAGCGACCACCAGAACTATAAGATAATAAATTTGTTCTGTGTAAGCCACTAAAACTGCAGCGATTTGTTCCAACAGGAATAGAAAATTAACGATGCTCAGAGATATCCAAGGGCCCAGTGGTTCACTGCTTCCAGAAGTCAATCTCAGTGTCCCTTCCGGGCTGTCATCCCGATCCACACAAAACTATTTCAGCTTTCCCTGCATCCTCGACTTCCTAGCTCCTTCCTCTCAGAAGTTGATGCCCGCTTCTAGTCACCAAGGAAACAAGCCTTTTGAAGGTAGCTCTCTCAACTCCTTGTCCCCCTACCTACACGAGTCTACTCCATGAGTCATCTCTTGCTCTGTCCTTTCCATCATGGCGCAAGAGGAAGCCCTCCTCTTCCTGTCCGATCCCAGCCCCTGCCATTTGAGGTCTGATTATGCCCGTCCCCACCTCTAGAATCTCGCTCAAGCATCTAACAAGGTGAAATTCTATCTCCCTTAACACTGCAAATGAGGCTGCCTCCAACCTGCACCCCCTTCTAGCTTCCTGCCCCTCCTCC